TACCTAATGAAATTGGCATACTAGAATGTATCTAAGTTTAGTATATAAATCTTATAAGATAAATATTAATATATATTCAAGTAAAATATATTACACTGTATTTTATGGTAATTTATTTCAAACTAGTATTATATATGATATGAATCTTATTATATCATATATTTTTGATGTTTAGTTTCTTAAAGTATATCCATAGCTTCAGTCAATATTTTATTGTAATTGAGCTAACGGTGGGTGAGATATTAGAGTTTGATAAATGTTAGATTAGTATGGGATACACAGGTGGCCGACTGGCTTGCCTGGCCGACTCGCTTGCCGGTTACGTTAACTACTCTGTAAGAATGCGTGTCTCTGAGATCGAATTGCACACTGGAAAAGAAATGGCCAATTAAATTATGTATATTGATAGAAATATTTCACAATCTGTTCGAATGATAGCATACGACACAACAGTCTCGACAACACACTCACTCATGCTTGTAACACGTGCAGAACGTCAATCACAATCCGGTCCAAGTTGTCCACCAAGCCCAGTGCCTGCTCAACTAAAAGGCGAAACTCTCCATCACTGTCTTCGAACAGGTAGTGTTGTTCACGCTGCGTCGAGATCTGACATGCCAGTATTTTGACCTGAGCGTCTCTATCGCAAGCTTGATAAAATGCCGTGGCTTTATCAAATAGCTCCTTCCTCGACCTACATTCATCCAGTGGAATATAGCGTATCGCACCGATGACTCTCTGGGACCCGAGTCGAAATACAACCTTGCTAGGCTTCATAGGCTCAGTGGTATTGCTTGTATTGCTGGTGTCGGTAGTTTTGTGCCGCTTGTGTGGTGGCGAGGGCACGTACTTCTCTTCTTCAGATGATGAGCCTGCTTCCGATGAAGATGACGAGTCCGCTTCCGTATGCTCTTCGCTCTCCTGTGCGCGACCTCTCATAGAGTATCTTTTTGAGCAACCAGGTTTGACAGATTTCCTTGTGACTGTCTTATCTCTTGGGGATTTGCGACGGGTGACCGAAGGAGATCTGCTAACATCCTCGCCTGAGGATTCCTGGAGCTCCTTTAAATGTTCCCAGGCTTCCGAAGAGTATTTGATTTCCTCCAGGTCGCTGCTAAACACTCGGACTGCGCAGTGTTCTAGCTCCTCTTTCTCATCGACGCCAGACCATGGCCTAAGGTATGTGCCATGGACAGTGCGATGAGGCGGATCACAATAGACGAACCTCGCTGTGCCATTCGCCTCATGTAGCACGAGCACACAGTACTTGCGCGGTTTTGTGACGAGGTACCATGTCAGCTCGAGCTCATTGCCTTTCCGATCAAACACTTTCCAGACCATCGATCCCAGACGTCCACTGACTTTGCACCTCGGATATTCGTTCCCCTTGTCTTCGTGCCAATGTTCCAAAATTGTCATCAGATAACTAGGAAACGGGATGTCAGGTCCCAGCTCTGGCTTCGGGTTGACGTGCACCGCCTGGTCGTCGTTATCGCCTGCTTGAGACCCATCGGCAGAGACTGTTGGCTTCTGTTCTTCGTCGTCAGACTCAGTGTGGACGATGTGACGAGAGGCGCGCCTCACCCTAGCAGTGACGCATGAGCGTTGTCAGCCAACATGTATCTGAAAGCAGCAATTGATCTTACCTTTCCTTCCAGAAGATGACGGCGCCGTCTGCAGGGTTCATATTTAGTCTGGACGCGAGGGTTAGCATGGGCCAGTGCAAGTAAAGAGTGCGTGCTCGAAGGAGCTTCATTTAGTTGACTTACTCCTGGAGGAATTGGCGCGTTTGCTAAACAGACACGTCCGCTGATTATACCTAGCTCAGAGGGTTCTAAAGACGTCTGACAGTGGGCCTTCTTCTCGTTAGGTTATTTTTCATACCAGAGAAGCTGCTTAAACATAATGTGGCTTGTCTGTCAAAACTTTCTGGTAGGTGCCTTGTCACCCGCGCAAATCACCGTGGTTGGAATCTCACAATTCAATAATATGAAGTCTGAGTATGACTAGTGAAGCAATTCCCAATTAGCATTTCTAATATCGAGTAGATAAGCTCGGAATCTTCCGTACAAGTGTAAAGCTCAATTCAATTGACACCAACAACTCAGTGCACAAAAGTGAGGCAGCTTGCACTCAATGTCTCCGTTTCCGGAAGGTATGGGTGCAACAGAGCAGAGTCAAAGACGTTAGAAATCAATGCACATGCACAGTTTCAACGTGAAATCGAAGACCCGTGAAATGCAATGGAGTGGATCACCGAGAAGATTCTGACAGCTCAGTGCATTAGGAGTGAAGAAAAACCACTGCTCTGCGCACTTCATCGTACTTTACCCCCCGGGATATGAAACGGTATTTCCTGACGCGTTCTGGAAACCACCAATGGAACAGTTTGCCTCACCTCAACTGATAAGCAGCTACTAGTGAATGTTCCTATCACATTACGGGACCTTCTTCTTCAGCCCATAATAACCCCGGGATGGATAGTCCGGGGAAAATATGCATGCTTCCCCATCAAACTTTAACATACTCATCTTGACCCACGCCCACAAAGTCCAAAAGCAGATACAACATCCGAACATGGATTTTTCCACTTTCCGTGTAATTGCAGACAAATTCGTGCCAAGACACTCTAGACTATTCTGTTTAGCCTTCCAAACGCAGATCTAGCGGCCGGCTGCATCTGGCCACTGCAGAATACGAACGGATGGTTGTTTGCTCTTCTCCTTGACCACGGCGTTGGGTGGGCAAGCCCACCGACTGATGGTCAAACCTGTTTCCTTCCGGGCTAATATTAGCTATCTCCGTTTGGATTGAACTTTACTTTTTGATGTCCGATGAATCGGCAGACTGAACAGGTCATTCTTTAACCAGAATGCAGCTACTAAATATATACCAAATCGAAGCTGACTACTAATATATCTACTAGTTAAACAAGAGTATGGCCCATGTATAGATGTTTAAGATGATTGATCACTACACTCAAGGACCATACGAGCTACCACACCCAACATACACAGCAACAGAACCACATAGCTGGCAACAACACCAACGACAGCATAACCAGACACAGCTTTTACGCCACAAGAAGCAGTCACCAACCTATCGGCGAGTAACCACAACTGAAGCGGTGGACAGATCAGGCAACTACCTCAAGCCGAGGAAAAAATTGAAAGTACAAGGCGGCATGGTTTCACCTGGATATATAGTCTGGTGTCATGTTTCGGGGAATTTGAAACATAGCCAAAGAACGTCCTTTCTGGAGGGTTTTGGGCGTGTTACGCGTACGAAAATGGCTGGTATCCAATGCATTAGAGGTTGAGTTCTGACTACCACTGCCTTCTGGTTAGTACGACCTACTATCGGAGTATGGCTGGCTTGGTGGTTAGAGATGTGAGGTAGCTCCGACTGGAGAAATGGGTATACGCTAAGACGCATATTGAAGTTTAGGATGGAGGAGAGATAAGCTGGCTGGCATAGGTTTTCGGACTAGGTGGTAAGTTTACGCCATGGCCGATGGGGTGATTGTAGGTTCGCCAGTCGGAATATTGGATGATGACTGCAATATATTGAAATCATCGAAATTCCTGGTCTCCTTATTATTGGCTTTCTGTCTAAATGCTATTATGATGGTTTGTCCTTCTATACCAAACGGGATAACAAAGCCTTCCAACTTAGGCACCGAACAAGGACATCCAAGCGCGATTGCCTATGCCCTTGTGGGCAGCAGATGGATGGTCAGATTCAAAACAAAAGCCCGAAAGAGATGGTGGGTTTAGTGCAACACAAGGAAACCGAACAGTTATACAATTGGGTGACATGCTCTTATCGTTATTCATCTTAATCAATGCAGGGAAAAGATGTCTTCAAACGGGGCAGCCTCAAGAATTAGAGGGGCATAATTATGTTGGGTCTAAGCAGCACAAGAATAACACAGTAACGGGTATCAAACGCTCAAAATGATGGAACTGGACGCGTCTCGCCCAGTATGATGCTGACGGAAGCATGCAGTCGTGGCTCTTCATCATGATTGGTTCTGAGAATCAGAATTCTGCTGCGCTTCGGCTACCATTTTGGCCACCTGCGGCATGGTTTTCTCATCGATGCTATTCCTCCGGCCCCAGTTAGCTGGCTGCCTACGGAGGAATACGCCAACTGCACCGATATAGCCTTCGTGGCGCAGGAAGTAGGCTTGCTTCTCGCCCTTGGACCAGAATTTAATGGCGTAGGACAAGGTGTTCATGGTCTGCCGATGACCGCGAATAAACGAACCGCCGAAGTAGATGTGTTTCACTTGATGCTTTTCGGACTGCAGATAGGCAATCTGCCCAATGTTGTTACTGTGAAACGTTAGTCCCAGCCGCACATCGTGTAATTGAAGACGCGAAAAAAACATACCTTATGGCATAAAGTAGGCTCCTACTCATGTCTTCGTGCTGAAACTTCGGCTCGCCATTAGTTCGGCCGGCTTCGCCGTTGGAAGAACTTTCCCCATCCAAGCCCGGCTCCGTCTGGTTCTTCATACGGAAGACCTTGCCAAATGTACTAGCAATTGCAGTGTTTTTGAGGCCAATTTTACTGTAATCCATGCCGTAAATGTCACCAACCAACATGTCTACCCCGCTATTGTCCCCTCGGTCCGCCATTGCCAGCATGTCGTCGAAGGTGCGGGCACCGGTCAATAATGACATTATGCCCCAGAACGTACCACCACCGAGGTGTGTGCCGCCCACACGTTGGAACTGCTTGGGACCTGATACTTTGATCATTGATACACCAGAGCCAATGTTGACTAATAGGTACGGATAAACATCCGGTCGGGCCTCGGCAAACTGCATCGGCTCGGTTTCACTGTAGGTAAAGACCTCGTTCGGAATCTCAGTGATGAAGAAGTCAAGGCCTATGCAGAATGGTCAAAATTTGGACTTTGCTTATTTCCGTTGCAAGTGAGCTCGTGGTTGCAGCATACCCGTAATAAGGCACTCCATCTCGTCCTCCCGAATAATGTCAACATTGAGTGCTTCCTTGAGCTTATCGTAGTATTTGAAGGCGCCTCCACCCGTAGCCATTACACATAAAGCATCTCCGGATGGCCCGCCGAGCTTCTCGTGTTCCTCTTTCAGTTGCTTGATGAAGTCAATGCACAGATCGATGCGAGATGTTTCGAAATTTATGAAGTTTAATCGGCCGCCATTGTCGACAGAGTCCAGCTCCCGTGTGAAGTAAACCAATTTTGCTAGCGATCCGCCAATCTAATATTGAAGCAGCAAGAGTTAGTCAAACAAGTTGTGTGGTGGTGGTATTGCGCCGAGGGGTGCGATTGCGGGGAGCTTCAAAATTGTGCGGGGAACCGCGGGAGCAGCGAAGAAAAAAAAAAAAAAAAAAGTCACTCACGTCTACAGCCACATGGCTCACCAGACCAGTGTGATGTGGAAGACGAATATCATGGCCCTCGTAATGGACTCCGTCCGTTCTTACGGGACTCTTAGATCGCGGGTCATCATCAACGATAAAGGCGCCCTTGACGTTGATCTTGACGGATCCTGGATTGGTGATAGCCTGCTCCAGGCGACCACCCCGGGCGGTGGAATTGGATGTGGACGAGGACATGTCGTGTCAATGGCATAAAAATACAGAGAGGAATGGAGCGATGGGACCAGGGGAATTAGATGGACAGCAAGGAGCAGGTGGCCGTACCGGCGGACGAGGTAGTTACCATCTCGGAGTAATGGGATCCCGTGATGGTCCCTACGGCGTATATCTCCTTCTGCCCGCTTTTGTTGAGGTCGGGTGGAACCGAATTATTATTCTGACGGGCTGGGCATTCTTAGTCAACTCCTGCTTCTGAACAAGTTCGGTCAGACAACGGGCGGAAGGGATCCAAACAAAAGCAATCCTTATGATTCCCGGTGAGTTGGTACTTGCAGAATGGCCGGGTCTTGTTGTTCATTGCAGGGATGAACTGCATCCAGCCAATTCGGAGGATGGAAGGGGGTGGCCAATGACGTTGCCCAGCCCAGTTGATACCTCAGGCACTGACATGGAGTTCTCAGGCATGAAACCCCACATATTGAGGGTCTTACTAGTAGTACTAAGAAATTCTAAACGGCCACTCCGTTGTTATCAGATGATCGTTGAGCATAAGATCTCGAAGTACTTCTCAATGTGATTTATGCCTGCGGTCTTCAGGTTTCTGGTGACCTCTGTCGACACTTTCAAAGTATCAGTAACTACTAATATAGAAGTTATACTAACAGTTACTGCTGTGTGCGAGTGACGTTCAATTAGCAGCGACTAACTAGTCTGCACATTCCCGGATATGTCTCCCGTCACTGTGTAGTAGTAGTTCTTTTCCAATCCGCGCTACTGCTTCACCCAAAGTACTAACACCCAACCAAGAACCAGTGGTCTAGAACCAAGAAATCACCAACTCTCACCAAGCTACTACTAACATTGCGGTATAAAAATCATTTGAAAGATAAAAGGCTAGACCAGAAGCTCATTCGGTATTAAAAGTGTGCTTTTGTAGAAACTTGCGTATCTGTGAATACTTCTAGATTTCTGCGGCCTTCTACTAGTACTGTGGTATAATATCATATAATGGATGGAGAGCACAGTCACTTGGTATATCTATAATTAGGTACATAATACGTTCAGATAAGCATACAAACACCTTTAACCTTACGAATT